ATCAAAATGGCAAAAAAATTTATGTTAATGGAAAAAAAATAGGCAGCTTATTTTTATTAAGTGACCCAAAATGCAATTATCTGTAGTTTCAAAGATATAAGATTTAAAGATAAAACATCGGATCTTTCTCACATTATTACGGATTACATACCAAATAACATTCTAAAAATTCTTGTTTCTCGTCCAAATTTATAATCACGAATCCCTGGTCGGAACTAAATTCAGGTTTGGTGATGGTGGGATAAGTTGGTTCTGAAAGAAAGTAAAAGATCGCGCCATCTGAAGGAGCAGCGTGACATCAACACTCATATCATACAACGTAATCATCGAGTGAAGCTGACGATGAAGAATTAGAAGAAAAAAAAGAGCGAGACGAAACGGTCCACAAGAGGGGCGAACTGTTTACTCTCACGTCCCTTCGTCGCTCCTTTAATCATTTATCCTTTATTATTCGAATATTAGATTATCTAACGATTTTTTGTTTCTTTTGGGTGTTTTTAAGTAAGAACAACTGAAACGCCTGGGAAGGAAAACTGACATATAGAACAAATAGGAAGTGTTTACAGTCCCACAGGAAGCGTAAGATTCCCTTCTGTCGGCTTCTGTATACAGAAACTGTGCTCACTTAAACACTTAACGTCGTTTGGATTTTAAGAGTAAGTGGCCTTATAAATAGGAGCTACGCTTTCCAATTGACGTCAGTTTGAATGACAACGGAACTGACGGGTTATTTGTGTTGGATCTTCCTTTCCTTTTACTTATCCGATAACGCGTATCCAATAGAAGCAAAAATACTTTAACAACTAATTAATTTTTAAAGGCGATATGTGTTACATTTGGCAATCCTGACACTTGATCAACTTCTGACGTTAGTTAAAACGATCTCTCAGTATTGGATGTCTTGATTAATTAAGAATTATGGACACAATCAAAACTGTGTGAAGTTCGTCATGGCATTTTCTGGTATATATTGAAATAAGTACTATATATTTCTCTTAAAAAACAAAAAACAAATATATAAAATTGGGGGACCGCGGTAGCCGAGAGACTCTCCGCCGCGGTCGTGGGTTCGATTCCCACCGTTGCCCCTGGCCCTTTTTTCACAATAACCCCCCCCCCCCAATTTGAACACACATATACGAATTGTCACATGGCTAATATGCAATAGTTCATAACGCAAAAAAAAAAAAAAAAAAAAAAAACCAAGATGATCTAAGATTTGTTCTATGAATTGTATCCATTAGAGCTGAAAAAGGAAGATAAGTAGGAAAAAGCTACCAATATAGTTTCTGTAAACACCTATAGTTCAATACATTTTCTTTTGGTTTATACCTTACAGTGTTTATATCCCTCTGTTATGTGTGGTGATTAGTGACCATTAATCGATAATTATTCAGAAATCGTGAGATGCGTTCTGGTGTGATGTAGGTTTCAGAAAAACGTTTTCTTTAGTCGTAATGTAGAAAGAATGGGTGATAGATGTCAATTCTTCAAAACTAAATAAATTTATTATGGTCGAAGCCATTACTTTCAGAATGTAGTCTTGATGAAGAATATATTCCTCGAAACCTTGACAGAGGAAGTGATATCAATCACATCGAATAATTTATACAGTACAAGTAAAAAGCAAATATCAATCAACCGGAGAATGGTATATAATTTTGATATAATTTAATGAATTGTGTATAAGTATAGAAGAAAAGTTATCAAAAAATATATACAATCATGTTTGAATCTTATGCATGTACAGTGGTTATGTACTTTAACATCTCAGCTCTTGATGAGCTGAAGAGCTTGAAATCCGGATCGTTGCAAAACAACTTACTGCGAGTGGAAACTATCTTTTTAAACAGGATTGAACACCATACTCACTCCATCATTCATCATTTCTGTACGTTATGATTTCAATTTATCATATGGCCGCTTTTTGGTGTTATGTGCATATGTGTCTTTTAATTATTTCAAACTGTACCAATGGTTAAAGTTAAGAAGTTTTGAGTCGCAAGTTTGTTATTTCATAACACAACTACCACGGTCTCGGATCTGCTTACGGCAGGCATTTGTTTACTTCTCACGTTTTTAAGTTGGTAATAATGAAGGGATTCAAATTATTTGAAAATGAAAAAAATAAAAACGATTATTAGATGCGGTCTGGTGTGACGTAGGTTTTAGCAAAACATTTTCTTTATCGTGCCAGCTTTTCGATTTTTATTTAGATCCTCTTCAGGGCTCAAAGTGTTTGTCTTCTGTGTAATTGTGCACACGACACGCAAGAATGGCAAAATTATATAGAAAACAAACACTTTGAGCTGAAACACTGAAGATGATCTCAATAAAGATCGAAACATTGGCACGATAAAGAAAATGTTTTTCTGAAACCTTCATCACACCAGACCATATCGCACGATTTCTGAATAATTTCCTCTGTTATAGTGAGATTTCTTGTTGACGTTGGGGTGAAAAACCTGCCATTTGTTTCCGTCTATCCTCGCTGTTTTGAAATGCTAGCCGCGTTTTGGATTTTGGTCAGGTATGTAAATACGGTGGGGCATAAACACAGCGCTGAATTATTTTTCCAGACATTTGTATAGATTCGTTTTAAAAAGTAAAACACGGGATTCCGTTTAAACTGTGCCATGACGCTGTTCTAATATAATTTTTTTTTTCAAGTTTTGTCCGATAGCTGAAAATAAAAGACAAATCTATGATTGAAAATTTTCTGAATGAGATACTACTCTCATGGAAACTCCCGGATAAAATTACCATCGAAAAGCTAGAAAACCTGAGCCTCTAAATAAGTATATATAAATATATAAGTACGATAGTGCAGGAAATTTAAAAAAAATTGGAAAAGTTAAAAAGCTCGTTACGTTGTTCTTGCATGAGATGAACGTCAACTGATAAAACCTGAAGAAATTTCTTCTTTTGAAATCACATTTTAAAAATTTATCTATTTCTTGAGCGCATAATATATTATATAATAATACAACGACGAAAAATTTATCCTGTTGAATGTCTAGTCTGTCCAATTCAAAAACTTTAATCCGAAATATTTGGGGTCACTTGTTGGGGAGATCTATCAAAGAGTCAAAAATTGATCAATTGTGATTTGATTAGAGCAAAAAACAGTATTCGTGAGTAGATAAAGCTTTAAAAGGTTGCAAAAGCCTGATTTTATATTTGCACGAAATCCTAGCTCAATCTCCGTTTCTTACAGTTTATGGTTCCTTGGACAATTTTATTGGAGGAAGGTTTTTGACAATACATGAAATTTGAAAGATTCAAATTTTTCTTTGAAATCCGGCATAGTTAATTTAATCGTTGGCACGCATTCTAAACGCGGGTCTGAACAAGTGGATGGAGAAAGAAATGACTAGACTGGATAAATTCACCAGATAAGAAAGCAAACAAAGAAATTTCTTAACATCTCAACCAAGAAGTTCTATGAATCTCTCTCAGCAGGCAGGGATTAAGGAAAATAATAGGGCTTTTTACCGGCCATAGCTCAGTTAATTACCGCCTTACAAAAATGTGAAAAACTGAAACAGAAATGGGACAATGCCATGAAACAGCAGGATGCAGTGCACTTTCTGGCTCCTGGATGTACACAAGTGGTAATTCCTCAGTACATCTTTTAAATCGCAGAGGAAGTAAGAAAGATCGTCACCTCCAAAAAAAAATCTTGCAAGAATGAGTAGATTTCCTTTCAAGGGTACTCAGACAGACAGACCAGAAGAATCCAAATAATTGGATAAAGATTGCTCACAATTTTTTTTTTGAATAATGAAAGTGACCGTACTTCTATAATATATTTTCTAACTGAAAATAGATTTTTCTTAATAATATTGACTATTTATACCGTGAATGAAATATAAAGAAGAAATATTTTTTGGGGAAGTCTCAAAGTGATTTTCTTTTCGGTGAAAGCTCGGGGATGACGCATGCCCCAGGGTGGCATCAAAATGAGTACCTTTCTCCACCTCGGGTATAGATTCCAAGATTGAGGGTGGGGCTAGAATCGATAGGGGGACAAAACATGGCTGGGCCACAGCTTCCTTAAAGGATTTCCTCTGTTAAACCCATATTTTCACAAGGATCATCCTGATTAACGAGGAAATACGTGATAAATCATCTATGATTTATTTTAATATCTATTTCTTACGCGAAGAAACTGCGTTCAAAGTTAATACGTTTTTATTTAAAAATTTATGATCAATTTAAAGCTATCGCTACAATTCAATACTACAAGTTGAGTAATTTGGCACATTTTATGATTTTTATTGGTTTAAGTCTGCTTGATATGTTACTTCAATTGATTGAGTAGAGGAAGGGATTAAGAGGGACAAGCAGATATAAAATCCACGGTTCTCTTAATAACTAAGGATTAATACAGTTGGTTAGCTAGCAGTAAATGACTCTGCATAATGACCTATCAAGTGTATAAAAATGATGTAGGCATGTGAATGTAAAATTTATTAAGATGAGAGTTTTTTTCACACATGCATATTTCATATAGTGATACAAGATAATAGACTATTTTATTTTGTTCTTAGTTATTATATCTTGAATATTTTAGGTTTTTATGTTTGTATGTGTCATTTTATATGTCAACATATTGTTATAATTTCACTAATTTCGTGGTCCGCTTGACCAATTAGTAAATTACAATTAATTAAGGCTTTTAGTTGAGATGAAGAAAAGTTAATGGCACGAGCGGGATTCGAACACACGATCTTTGGCTAGATACGCCGCTGCTCTACCACTTGGCAAAATGGCAAAAAGGAGGGAAAACTCATAAGGTGGGGTTGAGATAGGAAGTTGATGTCCGAGTGGATCGAGGTCACGATAGCTCAAGTGGTAGAGCAGCGGCGTATCTAGCCGAAGATCGTGGGTTCGAATCCCGCTCGTGCCATTAACTTTTTTTCATCTCAACTAAAAACCTTAATTAATTATTAAAGAAAAAAAAATAGTGTTATAAGTTTTTTAATATGAACTTTCCTTGTGGGGGTCTCCGATTGATGTACATGTGGTGTTGGTCTGCTAAACCGCGCTGGTTAGTTCTGGCAGACCCGTTTCGGCTTCTCGCCATCTTCAGTGCTCGGTTCTCGGTCAGGGTTAAGCACGGTGAAGGGCCTCTGTCCTCTGATTAAAGCCATCTTCAGTGGTGGGTTTGCACCTCGCCCTTTTCATATCCATCTGTTATTGTGAATTTTTTGTGTCTGGGGTTGAGTAACTAGTAAATTGTTTCCGATCATCCAAGTCCTCCTATCTTCCCTGACTAAGCTGAAAAATAATTACGTTTTGTATGATATAATGAAGAACTTTTAGATTTATTTGTTACCTATCCATAATCGTATACGATCCAAACGTGTACATGTTAATGTATTACATAACACAACACTAGCACTAATGCCAGCACTGCACCTGAAGAACACATGCTTTGAGGAGCCAGCTATTGCTCAATGTGTACGATTAGGTTTGGAGGAGGTTGAAGCAACGTGGCGGATTGTCCAAATGGGAATGAGGGGAGAGAGCTCGAGCAATGGTTAGGATGGTTCGAAAGGTTGGTGTTGAAGGTTTGGCATCTGGATCGGATCAGTTCGTTGACAAAAGGAATGCTGATGTCTTTGTGGATAGTGAGGTTAGTGCTTCGACAATTTGTCTAACGGCTTTCGATTGGAAGGACTGAATGCTAGATTTTTGTTGACTCTGACTTGTGGCTAAGGATATATAATTAGTTTCTGATCATCCCGGTTTGTTTATCCTCGCTGAGTTAATCTGTCAGACGCCTCTCAATTTCTTTTCATCTTCATTGGTCGCTGTTTTGGTCAGGGTTGTAAGTAAGAATGTAGGATGAGGTACAACATATGACCAGAAGCCGAAACGTGCCTGTAGTTTCCAGTAAAATAGGATTTTCGCCATTTTCCTTGTTCGGTTTTATCGGCCAAGGCTTTAAGTAGGGTGAAGCAATAACTCATTATTTCCCAATAGAGTTTTCAGTAAACAACTGTTGTCCCAGAATGTGGATAATATTTTATACTGGTTTATACCGCTGTTATTGTGTGATTTCTTGCTGGTTCTAAGTAAGCAACCTGAAATTTGTTTACAATCATCCGCCTACTCTCGCTGCAGGTTTGGCAGACTCGTTTCGGCGACCCCCTCGATATATTCAGTTTTCGTTTTTTTGGGCTAGCTGATTAACGCATCATCAGTGATGGGTTTGTGCTACACCTTCTAAGGTCAAGCAACAGTGGTTGGTTTCTAATATTGTTTCCAGTAAAAACCTATATTACCGAATGTGGATAAACATTTTATTTTAATTTTGAGATTCACCCTGCTTATCCTCTGTTATTGCGGGATATCATTTGAGTACAGGGGTTGATGAACCTGTAATAAATAATTAAATATTAAATAAAATATAATTTTATTTTTACATTGGGCATCTTTCTGACTCTTTCTAACAAATAAAATTGTGAGATGTTCTCTTGACGACTGCGGGGTGGAGAACCTAGTTTGGTCCCTTCCGATCTTTGTGGTCCGCCTTGGTCCTGGTGGTTTCACCACTTTTACCATCATCAATTGATTTTTGTGACACAACAATAAAAACAGAAAATCGTATACCCAACCTTTAATGATTCCGAAACTCATATTTCAGACATAACCAACTAGGATAGGCAGACTATCACGATTGGAAACGAACAAACTATAAATTAAACTTATTGATTGTGAATAAGATTCATAAAATAAAAAATAATAAATATCTACTTTTTTTACCGTCCGTTGAAGACACGAAAGTGATATTAAAGTACACAAAGTGACTGATTAAAATTCAAAGAGCTGGGAGAGTTCATCGTCTTTATCTAATTGAAAATAACTTTTTGTCATTTATGTTCTTTCCAATAAAAACTTTGGAAAACTTTAATCTTTTTTGGAGTGTAAAAGTCTGGATTCAGAAATGGTTAAAGGAGAAACAACGAGAAAAGTACTTACCATTTAGATGTGCGGTCTAGCTGGCTTTTGTAATTCTAAACTTGAAAAGCGGTTTTCAAGAGGGTTTAAGGAATGGTAAGAGATACAAAGAGAACCATTACCAGCTGTAAAACTAAATTGAAAATGTGAGAAGTCATAAAACAGTTATAGCAACAGGGTTATCATCATGAAAAAATGTCCCCAAACTTGTCCCCAAGTCTTTAAAAAAATCCTGTTCGTACAAGTATTAAATTTCCTGATCATGTTGTGTAAATTGTTTAGATTTATCTTAGGAGAGAGAAAATGAATGACTCAAGTCAGTAATAGTTCTCGACTTTAATAAGCAATTTTACGGCTCAATGGGATGAAAGTGAGCTTTACATTTCCCCCGAGGGAGAAAAGGGCAAATGGAGGGTACAATAGGAAAATATTAAACTCAGTGATAATAGGCCGAATGGGTTGCAAAATAGTTGTTTGGCGAGGGCGATAACAGAATCATTATCCGATAATGGATCAATTGCGGAGTCATATTATAGGGTGGCTCAGATAAGAAGTGTCGCACGCCCTCCTGCATTTACAACCCCTTACACGTCCGACACCCCGTCGGATCCTTTTTTTTCTTCTTTTTAATTTAAACGGATTCGCTCCGGACCCCGAAGCTTTCTCTAAAGTCTAATATTTAGATTAAAAGGGGAGAATCGGTCACGGGTTTACACTTACACAAGGGACCCCTCGGCATTTTTCGCATTCCTTACGAAATGACATCACTGACTGGAGGACGTGTCAATTTTCTTCTGTTCTCATTTCAAATCGGTATTAACTGTAAAGGGAAATAAACGTTCCTCCTTTGACTTCATTAATTTAAAAGTTTTTGTGAAAGTACGCCATGACGGAACGTAAGTTTAACATCCTAACTTTAATGAGAGATTTCTTCTTGTACACATTGCTGCCACAGATATACATGCCAGACATCAAAGAAGCACTGAAGGCTTTGTACTTCTACACCTTCAACTCAAAGCTGGCGAAGGCCTAACATCTGGGAATACGCAATCAGGCAACTTTGATTGAGTACCGTTAAAAGAACAGGCTGACAAACTATAAAAATCAGAAGCAGCCAACGCTTTGGATCAGAACCGCAAATGGGCAAGGTCCAAAAAATTCTAAAAGCGGAACGTAACAAATGGATTCAGAAAGAAATACACTTGATAAAATGTCAACAACCACATCTCAATTATGCAAACAAAGATGAACTTTTCTTTCTGATGAGGTATGTTTTTTCTAAGAGAATATTCCAAGTGCAGGAATTTTTACATTTGTCAACCGTTCCATTTGTTATAAACTGTTTGTTCATCCTATTCCAAGTTAAAAAGAGGTGGAAAATTAATGAAATATCGTTAACCTGGAAAATGGCAAAAAGAGGCAAAAGGACCAGTTCTTGATTTTTCGCATTATCTAATTTCAGGACTTTTTACATTTATCAATTGTTCCATTTGTTACAAAATGGTTTCTCGGCTTAGTCCAAGGTAATAGGAAGTGAAAAATGAATGAAATATTAATAATCCTGGAAAATGGCAAAAAGTGGCAAAAGGACCAGTTTTGGGTTTTTTTGTATTATCTAAGTTCAGGAATTTTTACATATCTCAACCGTTCCATTTGTTACAAAATGGTTTTTCGGCCTAGTCCAAGGTAATAGGAGGTGAAAAATGAACGAAATATTGATAATCCTGGAAAATGGCAAAATAGGCAAAAGAACCAGTTTCCGATTTTTCGCATTATCTAATTTCAGGACTTTTTACATTTTTCAATCGTTCCATTTATTATAAAATGGTTTTTCCGCTTAGTCCAAGGCAATATGAGGTGAAAAATGAATGAAATATTGATAATCCTGGAAAATGGCAAATAGTCGCAATAGGAACAGTTTTGGCTTTTTCGAATTTTCTAAGTTCAGGATTTTTTACATTTCTCAACCGTTCCATTTGTTATAAACTGTTTTCTTCAGCCTAGTCCAAGTTAATAGGAGGTGGAAAATGAATGAAATATCGATAACCCTGGAAAATGGCAAAAAGAGGCAAAAGGACCAGTTTTCGATTTTTCGCATTATCTAATTTCAGGACTTTTTACATTTATCAATCGTTCCATTTGTTATAAAATGGTTTTTCGACGTAGTCCAAGGTAATAGGAGGTGAAAAATGAATGAAATATCGATAACCCTGGAACATAGCAAAATAGGCAAAAGAACCAGTTTTCGATTTTTCGCATTATATAATTTCAGGACTTTTTACATTTATCAATCCTTCCATTTGTTAAAAAATGGTTTTTCGGCATAGTCCAAGGTAATAGGAGGTGAAAAATGAATGAAATATTGATAATCCTGGAAAATGGCAAAAAGTGGCAATAGGACCAGTTTAAGCTTTGTCGTATTATCTAATTGCAAGACTTTTTAAGTTTGTCTTGTATAAAGGAAAATAATACTGTCCATTTTTCATTTAATTACCACCTTATACAAAGGAAAATTGGGACAGAAACTTCCGATTTTACCAAGGAAGGGCAGACTTCGGTTTCTGTTCGGTTTCGGTTTTGACGAGATGCCTTATAGACCATATATCCTCTTCCCTAGAGCAAAAAGAATACTGAATTGGAACCTTTATAGATTTGGCACAAGTTTAACACCCTCTACTTAATCCTCCGTTCATATTTACCAAAGCATTTCGGGTTCTACAAGAATTAGATTAATCCGACTACTGCACTGAGTGGAGAGTACCGCAGGGCAGTGTGCTCGGACCAATCCTCTACATTTCTTATACCGCAGATGACTCAACAGTACCTACTTGTCTCCTAGCATTTTTATCCAATGACACAGCTGTACTACCTTACGATTACTTCGGAAGATCAATACATACAATACCGTATCACATGTATAGCAAATTTGTGAAGAGAATGGAAAATGAAGAAAGATGAAGGCAAGTGTCACTTCTACACTCCGAATCAGTTCAAATTATTCTACAACAGTATTCCGATCCTCAAATTCCGAAAGCGTTTGTTACCTAGACTCACGCTTAATGAGTCTGTAAAGGCAAGACCTATAGTCGAAAAACTTATGGGACGGCAGTTCAAGCTATCGACGAGAAACAAACTTACTTATCTCCAAAAAGCTACTTCAAAATTTGAACGTATCGCTAACACTTCTTACATCGATCTCGTAGATCCTCTCGTCGTAGAGGGAGAAGAACGAGAAGGATCTCCCAGGGACAATGCCACATAGAATGCCAATTTAACTTCCGTTTTAAGCTGTTCATAATCCAAAAAGTGAATATTCAAAGTTTTTGAATAACGACGAATTTCATTGAAAACCGATATAAATTTGTCATGGGTAGCATACAATCGAGACAACCTGGCAATAAATAAGGGTGTTTTTGTGGGATCACCTCGAGCCTCCAAGCCCAAGCGATTGGTATCCAGAATTTCGTCGGCTAAATCCCGCATCTCATCTTTCAGATTATCTAGGTTTTGATCCATTTTTTCCATAGTTTGAACCTTAGGAGCCATAAATTTTAGGTGGGTTTACACAAATATAATAAAACGAAAAAAACAAACAATAATGATGGGAGATATAATTAATAGGAAATTAATTGAGATCCGGCCCGGAGGACCAAAATTATGTTGGGGGGAAGGGCTTTCGTTAATTTGAAATACCGATTTCCTTACCCAATATCCCACTGGTTCCGTGTGGGGATTAATTTTCCAGATCTCAATTTATTTCAGAGAAGATTAATAAATTAATATATATTGTATATTAATAATATATGTTAAATAATAATAAATTAAATAATATATACATTATTAAATTGAGTAGATAGTTATCCAGAATATTTAACACTCCCCTTTTCACTTTCCCCTTTTATCTTTTGAATAAAATGAAAATACCTAAAATTTGAATATATGGCATGCACACATGTATACGGATAAAACTATAAATAATATGTTTTTATACATATATAAAGAATATGTTGTTATAATAAAATATAAAAATAAATGTATTCTTACTTGATTTAAAAGCATAAAACAAGACCAGATAAAATTAAAATAAACCCTTTTCTACTGATTTGAATTGAATTTTCTATTGATCTATATATAAATTAAAATTAAACAACTTCTTGAATTACGATCATTTGACCAGATCATGGTATTCGATTGACCAGATTGAAACAAAATGAAAATTATAAATTTTAATGAAAAGAAATTAATGAAAATTGACTTTAATAACATTACTCGTGTAAAGACGTGCACGTTAACTATGAATTCAATTAACTTAACGAATAAACTTGCATGCAATAAAATAATAATAAAAAATAAAGTAAACTTAAGGATGAAGTGAAATGGAGAAGCAGGCATGAAAATTGAAGATGTGATGTCGCAAATGATGAAGAAGCCACAGATGATGAAGAAAACCAGACAAAACGACGACGAAGAAAAAAAAATAAATATGAGATGAAGAAGATCAAAAGAAAATACAGCCAGGTGAAGTCACGGTATAAACCGTAGATACCCCTGATGGTATAGGGATCGACGATGGGAACGATCGACGAAATCGATATTGCAATCGCTAGGCCGATGTACGGGAAATAGATGTTCTGTATTTCAAAGTTGCGCAAAGACTGCTTCTCGACGTCTCATTCTGGATCAAGGGTCCGCGATAACGGCTAATCCTTTCTTGTTTTGTCCGCTTAATCCGTTATGGATCGCGTAATCAACAATTATTTGAACAAAATTAAAGATTTATCCCCGATGCATGTGTAAAATAGTAATAAACAATAATGCAAACATAAATCAAACATTAAAATATATAATTAAGAGAGAGAAAAAAGGGGGAAGGAGACTTCGTGATTTACGATAAAATATAAAAGAAAAAATGCGCCTTAACAAATACTAAACTCCATAACGACCTTAAAATCCAATTTATCCAAAAATCCTAAATAAATTTTTCCATCAGCAAAATAATCTTATGACTTAGGATGGTCACCTACAATTCCGTAAGGATTCTAACGCGAAAATGGGTTAGCAATCTCTTTCTGAGGACCTCATTTCCTTAAAATACTTGTATTTCTAA